ATGTAAACCAGACTGGCATTTCAATCTCACAGTTACTGAAACTGAATAAATATTTAAATGGGGGGGAGGAAAATCTAATGAATTCAGAACTCCATTACCAATTGAGAACAATATTTCAAAATAGATGCTGTGGTTATGTTAATAAATAGTGTTATCATTTTACTTTTTCTTTTATATGAGACCATGGGGAAACAGTTTCTTTGAACAGCACATTAAATGCATAGTGGAGGGCTTTACAACACATGGGCAGAAAAAAAAAGTCTGCAAATGCTTCACTGAAAAAATGGTCTGAATTACTAATTTCAGGTCAAAAATTACCTGGTTTTATGTTTTTATGCTGTATTTTTCAATGTGCATTTCATTTCAATGAATAATCAACTCTCCTCAGAAATCTCATCACATACAAAATGAAAGCACATTCTATCTGTTTTAAGCTCTTGGGAATTCTTCTGTCTTGTCTATTAAAAAAAAAAGCTCTGGAATGAGGTTTATGGATTGTGCATAAAGGCTGAACATGTACCATGCTGCTTTCTAATGAATAAACTGAATGTAAGCCAAAAGTTCTCTCTTGTGTAATTAAATTAGAATTAATAGAGTTAAATAATTATTCAATATAGCTTTTTAGTTTTCGTTTTAGGCAATTGTTTTGGCAATTATTCAAGCAATTATAGATATATGTTTGCGTACACCCAAACACAGGCTTACAGTACTGCAGCTTGCTCTCATAAAAAGAAATAATTTTTTGAAAAGCATCTGACAATAAGAAGTATCAGCTATTCCTGGTAAAAAAAAAAAAAAAAAAAAAGTAATAGGGTTCCTTTGCTATAGTACATGCTTTTTCTATACAGATGACTTTTAACACTGATTTTTATGCTTTGTATAAAAACTAACCCAACAGTGCATTATGGTACTCTAAAGAGGAAAGTATATGAAGAAAAAAAAAGGCTGGGCATTTTCTTGACTTTTTTCTAAATAGGTTTCTATTAAAATACACTTATCTACTTGTTGAAATGCCTTGAATTCAATACTAGTGTAATAAGACACGCTTTCTTTAATTCTGTTTTAAGCCTAATGTAGGAATTTAATATATTTTTAATTCTAAAGTGCTGCATGAAGATAAAAAACACATTCTAATTTACTGAGTATGTGCATCTACACATATACACACAGATGTATGATTCCTGTACAGAGCTCCCACACTTGGTGCTTGCAGTGTTAAATGCAGATATGAATTACTCAAAATACAAGGCCAGCTTACAAGCACACGTTGGCAGTCTGCTAAAAAAAAAAATCATGTCTTTTCAGGTCTTCAGAAGCATTAGAGGACTAGGTCAAGATCAAAATATTTAGCTTTATCGATACATCTGTGACCACGAGAAACAGAGAGAGAGATAATTAAGCCAGAGAGATAAAAAGTGATTTAGACACCTTTTGTTTTCATATAAACCACACATTTCTTAATATTAAATTGTTAAAGTTGCAAATCCTATATTTAATAGCAGGCTCCTGTTTCTCCCATTACTCTCCTTCACCTGAAAACAGCTACTGAAAATAAAGTGCATTCCGGTATTGGTATAAATTTGGATGAAGCAATTATGTTAAAATGCTTAATTAAAATGTGACATGATTTCTGCACTATATACCATACATCACGAATGTAAATTGTTTCAGTCTGTTAATGAAATACAAGAGCCAACTCAATGCAGACTCAGTCACCAGAAAATGTGCTTCCCAAAAATACAATAATATACTGTTATTTCTGTGTATTTTTTGCTTTCCAAAATGCAAAAGCACAAATGTATTTTGAGGTATCATTAATAAAGCATCCAAGCAGGCTAAAAAAGTTCTCTGCCATAGAAACTTGCATACTATAGACTAGTATAATGAAAAACAGACGTTTTATTTCAACTGATTTATCTCTAGATAAAACTAACATAACCTTAGTTGACCACGCTTGAGCCTCCACTCAGTGTCCATTACTTAGTTGCCTGCATATTAACCCGTGGAGAAACCAGTCATTACTATGTTAACACACAAGGGCTGCATGGATTACTTTCAATACAGTCACAGTGCCAAGTTGCTTTGAAATAGAGGGTAGAAGCTTGATGCTGACTTACACCCAAAAAAGGTTAAAAGATGCAAGAAGGAAACAAGCTCTCTCTCTTAGATGCTTCTTGCTAGCAAAGGGCCATAATCACTGTGGGAACAAAAAAATTATAGTCCCTGGGGAAAATCGTGGTAGTGGGTGTAAAATGTTTTAAAAATATTAAACTAAAGCCATGCCATCCATCTGAGGACAAGCTAAGGTTTACTGCTCACCCTTCATTTCCTTGCCTCACCTACCACTGCCATTTGGAAGAGATTTAGAAAAGCAGAGAGCAGAAGGGAATGTGGTCACTACAAGGGGACCCCATAGCTGTACGTAAAAGCCAACAAGCTTATTCAAAGTGGCTGTAGTTGATGAAATCTGTCACCTGAAATTGGAAACTATTTTCCTTTCTCCAATCTATCACTTTTAAAGTGAATATGAAGGACAGATAGAGTTGTGTTTTTAAATAGCAGTTCTGTTTCCACTAGTGGACAATGTCAGGTAAATACCTGTTGTTGTTTTTTCTGGATATTAGATGCCCCAACAAAATCCAAAGGAAATACCAGCGTAGAGTCTTATTCCTAGACATTCTCTCTGCAAGTATGCAACATACCTATCTTTCCCCCTTTCCTCTTTAACCCTTACTCCTATCACCCTTTTGCCTGTGGAAATAAGGGAAATGAAGATGAGGGAATTCCTGTATGTATGTGATTTGTAAATTTTGCACATAAAATAAGCACCAGCTTAAAGGGGGGGGTGTCATAAGACTATAAGTTGGATGCGTGCACCATCTGCGTCTTCTACATCGGATTCTTAAGTTTCTTTTACCCAGTATCTAGGAACACCTTCTTAAGTGAAGGAAATGCAGGAAAAGAAATTTTCTTCCCCTAAGCAGGTGATATGATATGGAAATTTATCAAAATAACCAGTATTTCTTATTTACATATAAAATCTCGGTACATTATAATAAAAGCATTGCATGCCACTTTCCATTCTTCCTTCACATGGAGTTTAAGACTGCTCCATGCTGATAACTGCCCAGCAATTGCCTTCACCCTGTAAGTAGTATCTGAACATATTTGCCTTCTCCTTAAGTGTTGCATGGGAATCACATCTGCTGCAATAATCGTAATATCAATTGCTGCTGCTTTACATGTCCTCTGGAAGCACAAAATGTGTTAGTTGAAGCTTAAATTAAGTTAAAGACAGTTAATAGTTCAAGACCATAAAAAAAACCACTAAGTTTTTTACCACACATGTTTCCAAGAAAAAGGAATCTCTTGCTCTCAGTTAAGTGATACTTAAGAGAAAACCAATTCTGGTCTTGGTGATCATGTAGGATCATAGTATTGTCTATTTACAATCACTGCAAAGGGAATTGAAGGAAGGGCAAAGAAGAAAGTTGTGACTGACTAGAAAAACTACACAGAAGTCTTCAAAGACAAAGTAAAAACATGGAACATAACAGCAACTTTAAGATGCTTCCAAAAGTGCTTCAGCAACAGCACTACACAATTAGCATCAGTAGTATTGAACTTCAAATTGTTTTTTCTTTACTCAGAAAAATTGATATACGTTTGTCTCTGAACTGAAAGATATGGTCAACATCAGCTAGCACAGTGTAGGCAATCCAAAGAGTAATACAGTTGTGCTTCTGTCCATCTCTCCCAGGTTCCATCCTGTGTTAGTTTTGAATCTGTGTTAATGTAAAACCAACTAGCTTGAACTCATGCTCTTGAACTCTTGTTACAAAGCCCCTTAACTTTCTGCTACAGCACCAAACTGTCACCAACAAATCAGCCAGACAGCCATTGCTACCACCCCAAGATCTGCTCCTAATGACTGGTAAAATCATTCTAATGGCACAAAAAGCTCTTAAAGGAACCAAAGAGAATGGATCTTAATGATGTTAATAATAACTCTAAAGGAAGACTTCAAACGCATCAGAGTTACCTCAAAAACTCTCTATCAATTAATATAATTAACACTTTACTAGCTAATAGTCTGAGTAATGCTGGGATCAATCTATTAGTGTCATTTCCAAGAAAAACCATTTGTCTTCTTGATCCAACATTACATTATTCCTAACAAACTATTAGCTGTATTTAAATGATCCTTACTGTCTTTTCTTACATATATTTACTAAAGCAAGTAATTTAGATCTTAAACTCTTGCCCCTTGTAAAATTACTTTTTTCCCCCCCTCAGAAAAAGTAAAAAATATTTTACTTAAACAAAAAACTTCAAAGGACACCTCATTAATGATATATCATTTGCCAAGTTATTTATGTTGACCTTGGACCAATATGTCAAAAAGTTATGGTCATTCCCTGGTAAAGTGGATTCATTACATGACATCAAATGAGTTTTATGAATCCTTCAACTTTGCCACATTGGAATGATGTCATAACATGGTGGCTATCTCTGCCAGCAACCCTGTTAATATTTAATAAAATATTTTGTGTGCCTGAGGATCAAAAACTGTGTCAAGTATGTAAATAAAAACTAAACAACTATTTTGTATCAAACATTTATGCAAAGATAAATAATTGTTACATTGTAAAATTGTCAGTTCCATTTACAGTACATCAACTAGGTTACAATGCATGAGAGACTAAAGGAAACAAAGAAGGTTTCTTTAACTATAAACAGTCTTAAAACTGATATACATTGTAGATATTTCCCCATAAAAATTTCAAGTTCATTTCATTGCTCACAATTAGCTAACTTACATCTCTTAGCAAAATAAACACATACCCTTTATTTAGCATGGCATATTTTGTTACTGAATTAATAATCAAACATTATATAAAAACGATCTGAATATTTTGCCTCAAGGGGGAGCTTACAGTTCATTCTTGTGGATCCTTTGCATTTTCAAGCCATTCCAAGCTAATGTTCTTTGACGACGTTATAATACAGCCTGACTGCAAAATGTTATTTTTGCTTTGTTTCCAGTCAGTAAGTCGTTATACTTCCATGCTACTGTCCTTCCTAGGGGTCTTTGAAATCCATAGTGTGGACTGGTTTGGACTGGTTTTTGTTCTTCCTTTACTGAAAAATAAGAATATAAACTATTTTCAGTGAATGTGTGCTTTTACAGTCCCGATTCAGGTTTGTAAGCAGACCCAGGTATTCCATCCCCTATTTGAAGGCCATCTTTGTTGCTGTCATAGCATGGCATCCCCATCCACAAAAGTGTTGTGCCCATGCTGCACCAAGCATAGTGCTGCAGTTCACATTTAACAACACCTGCTCATACAGAGTGGTCTTTTCAGAGATAGGTGTGTACACTGTTTGACCAGGGTGGTGGAGGCAGGGTGCTTCCCTTGTCAAGTGGGACAGAAGAACACATACCCCAGAGCCCATGCCCAACAGCTCGGGGTGAAGCCCACCCACTCCAGGGGCCTACCACAACCCTGCCCACAAACATCCTGGAGCTGCATCCCCATGACCACGGTATAACAGTGGGTGCCAGTGCCTACTGGTATGCCAGAAAGCCTCTCCCTTCAGGGCTTGACCTAACTTCTAATGAAGCAATGATGCATGAATCAGATTCCTAGCAATGAATGACTGGTAGAAAGCTTCCTCAAGCCTATTTTTCTTTCAGAAATGTCAATAGTAGTTTTTGTGGGTTTGGGGTTTGTTTGTTTTTTTTTTTTTTTTTATTGGTTTTCTTTGTAATTCAGAAAAGATAAAACTGGTTCCAAAAGTACTTGCTCTGCAATGCTGCAAAATGTTCACTCTAATACTTACAGGGAGCCCTGAGGTACCCTGTAAGTTGATGCCAGTCTTTCCACATGCCTGGAGTCTCCACTACGGCTGCCAAACACACCACCTTCCATCACTTAAATGGCAGGTGACAGCACACTGCAATCTAGTAAAAAGATGAGGCACTTAATCAACCACTGCAGCTGCATTTCAATCAAAATGTTTCAATCTCTGGCCAGAATATTTCACACTAATATTTTGGGGTTTTTTTCCTATTAAGTAAATGCAGAGGAGAAGTAGCCCCACATAATTCTGTAAGTTGGAAACCTGAGAATCAAGATCCCAACAGTCCTACACATTGTTTTATTCCCTTTGTGGTGTGTAAGTGTTGATTTAAAACATACTTAGAGGGAGTTGGATGGTACAGTAGGTTTTATTCCCTCCAGACTTACCTCTGAAGTCCTAATAAGTAATGCACTATGCACCTGAGCCCATTGGCGTAATTGAAAAGACTCCCACTGGTTTCAGTGGACTTTAAATCAGGCCACAATGCTATAAACAAAGCAATTGCAATTAATCAAGTAACTGCAGCACTTCTGGAAGGAAGTAGCAAATCAGTTTCTTAAAGAACAATACAGGAAAATCATACATTTTGTAAACTAATTATGAAATGCTTTGAATGGAGAGTCCTTGCCACACAGCAGGAACAACTTCTAAATACCTTGGATCAGAATTTCAGCTGTATAAATTGAGCTTATCTTCAGGAAAGCTATGCTGATTTTCATCAGCTGGTTCAGGAAATAGGTTTTAGAAAGAAAGGTAAGGAAGATGCAATAAATATTTTGAGCAGATATCGCTGTTTTGACCATCAAATGCAATCATAGAAACAGAAATATACCAGGTTGGAATTTAAACTTTCTGCAAGGCATTCAGATGATAATGGAGATGGGTCTTTGAAGCAGTTTCTCCTTGCTTCCCTGGAAGAAATGAAAGGGAGAGCATCTAAGCATGAATGAGCTGATCATTTCGACTAGCTACAGGGAAGATGTTTTGCTTTGCCTTATTACTACCCTTCAAGAGCCCAACGCCAGGCAAAATTAGTCATGACCTTTCAAGCTAGGCATGTCCTGGTTGGCCATGGGTTGTGGCTTTCAGAGGAAAGGTCACCATGTTGTGGAAGCCTAAAAAAGAATGAGAAGTCAGGTTCATTTGGAAAGTTGGGGATCCCTTCTTCCCCAGTAGGACAGAATCCCTTCCCTAAAGCTCTACAGCATCCAGCTGATCAGTTCAAGTGGTTGCCTCTTTTTTATTTTTAATTTGCTTTTTGCCCAAGAACTGTGTATTTGTGATGAACCAAAATGATTCACGAAGTAGGTCATATGTGGAAATACAACTGAAAATAGATGGGAAAACATCTTTTAAAAACAAAAGTAAGTTTCAATAGATAAGAAACTACTTTTGGTGATAGCAGAATATCCTCTTTTGATGTAAATAAATTTTAAAGAAAATATGTTTTATTTTCTTTAATTAAAAGTTTTGCTGCAACCAAAAAAAAAAAAAAACCACAACATTCTGAAAAAAAAATCGTTTCATTCAAATCCATTTTATCCCTGATTTCAGTCCACCAAAGTAATCAGCTAACAGGAAAAGTACAATCTTCCAAGCTGCATTTCCAATAACTGTGTCATGAAATTTTTAAGTTTTGGAAGTTTATATTAATTACTTCTGGATGAATTGCTGTAGTATCAAAGGCCTGATCAAAGCCCACTGAATTCAACACTACTATTTCTATTGATTTCAGTGGGCCATGAATCTCATTGTTTTCTCAGGAGTATTTGACAGCTGAACCTTTACTGGGCAAAGAAAAAGCTGTCAAAAAAGGTATGAACATATATGTCATACTTACCAAGAAATCAGGTTTGTTGTAATAAGGGTTTCAGATTTAGATTTCTTATATAATAGCTATTGTTATATAGATAGATAGATAGATTCCTTTATTACTTTTTGCATTGTTTTCAAACTGCCACAGCTCCAGTGTTGAGGTTTGGATACAACCTTTCACAAGGATGAATCTGCCTGCCATAAGGTATGTTGGAAAGTGCACATTTTCCTTTTCTTTATAGGAAAGTGCATAAAATAAAGACACAATCCACTTTATGATGCAGACCTGAATTTAATTATGATTGCTTGTTTCAACAAGACACATTACTAAGGAGTGCTATGAACATCACCATGCACTCACTCATACAGACATTATCAGACTTGACATTTGGAGTGTTTTCTCACTTGAAATAAGGTATATCAGCTATTTACAGAAAATGTTAAATAAAAATCACAAAATAAAAAAGACTAAATGTAAGGACGAAATTTTTTTTCTAATTTCCTAAAACTGTGATATTGTATTCCTTACTAGTATTCTTGCTCTTCAAGAGGGATAATAACTTGAGAATCTGCTTATTACTCTTGTTGTTTTGCTAAAATACTGTTTATCCATAAAATCTAGCATTAACTTGAGTGCTTCCTGAGAAACAAAACAAAAAACACACTGCAGAATGAAAAGTACCCTTGAAAGTTTCAGAATGACAATGAAAAATATATATGTTGTCATATCTTAGCACATTTTGAGAAAGATAAAAAATCCAAAGAATTTTAACCCATGGATCAAAACCTGTCCTGTTACATAGGTTGAAATGTTTCCTATTTGCAGAATACATTTGTTTGATACTACAACTATGTACATTTCTATTTACTTTATATATCTTCTTTGGCTGATACATGATGTACAATGGAGTTGCAGTGGCACGTGACTCAAAACAGGGTTTTGCTTTTAGTTTTCAGTTTGTCCACTCCAGTGGCCCACTTGTTGCTCTTAAGGTATGTACACCAAAAAACCATTAAGCAGCTGCTGAAC